TTTTCCCATATATTTAATTTTACTTACATTTTTTATTGTATATCACAATTTCAACTTAATATATACAATGTTAATATACAAGTTAGAAATTCCAGTAGTAACCTATATCTCGCTCTTCAAGACAGGCATGCATGATTCATACTTTGTTGTGTTGCTTCTTATCGTAGAGATTTAAAAGGGAAGGTATAAATTATTTATACGTATATATTTTTATACAATATTATTTACAAACTTTCTAAAACAAATGATAATTCTAAATTTTGTATACTCTTAATTGTTAGGTAAATGGTAGTATATTATTTGACCAACACATTAATTCATGCGAAAATTGTGCATTCTCATTTATAGTACAAACTCCACAAAATTCAACAGAATTAATTAAACCCCCAATACTGGTATTTGTACTCAGAGTTGATTGGTGTGAAAAATGTTCTCACTTTCATAAAAGATTATCAAATCGAAGGCAAAATATTTGTAAGTAGTTCATTTACTTATCAAATTAAATATTCAGTGACATTTAATTGAACCCTTATGTCGCTCAATTTATGATATAGATTTCTATTTTTTTTTCAGAATTTAACTTCCATCAATGTGGTAGTTTATAAATAATGGGGATGCTTTTATCATATATTGAACTATTGCTACAAAATCTCATTTTTTAACTATACTTTCCTGTGCCCTAAATTATACGAACAATTACGTACATTTCTTACTCTTTTTAAATTTCTCCATCGATTATAATTTCTTCCAAAAACATGATCTACTATGCGTAGCACAGGTGTTTAGACTAGTTTATATAAATTGAAGAAAGGGTTTTTAGAATGGTCAAATTATAATGCTTCCAACTCCATATTCTTTTTTTTTTATAGAATTTTAAAATTTTTAATTATTAAATATTTCTTCGTGCCTTTTGAATTTAAAATGTAAGAAGTGGCTCCATTAATATAAGAATTTGGTTTGAAGTTTATCATGAAAGGGTAAATAAAGATGAAACATCATACGTTCTATTAAGACTAAAAAAGTAAAAAATAATATTTTACCTTTCAACTTAGTAACTCTAACTAAAAGCACAAAACAAAAAAAAGAAATAATATTTATTAGCCCTGGATTTAAAAAATTAATAACGTACTATTCTTGAAACCTAAATTATAAAATCACTAAATTAAAAAAAAAATCCTACTAGTCCGTCAAAGTGGAAATTTTTATTTAAAATTTTGTTTTTGATAAAAATAAAAATAAAAATAACACAAATCTTACCAATAATAGAGAAATAGGTAACAATATAGTTTAATAGAAAGATATAGAACATTTGACAGTAACTATATCAACCCAATTTATATATATTTGATCTAAATTCGACACTAATTGGGTTTGAATAAGAGTGTGAAATCCAACTACTAAAAAGAACTTTGAATATTATTGACTATTTTATGTATTTTTTATTGTTTTCTTCATATATAAATATGTAACACTACTCTGCCATTTTTATAATCTAAATTTTTTATTATTTTTATAGTTGTAAGGGATAGTATAAGATATTATCATTTTTTTACTTACATCTTTAGATGCCAATATTTACAACCACTGTGGTCAATTCTTGGTTTATTATAGTTATCATATTATAGGAGATAAAATTAAATATATTCTAAAAATATTAGTAAACTAAATTGCATGTTATGGTTTTTTTCCTTCAAATTTTTCCTTTCAATTGGGAGAATGAATATGGAATCAATTATGAACTTTTTCAAAAGAAAAATTGACTCTATTCAATCCAAATTTATATACCAAGTAATTAAGTCTGGTGCTTTTATTTCGAAGATACAAATATAAGTTATTTTAAAAGCATAAAACTAAACTGAAAGTTATGAGAATTTTTTCTTTTGCTTCAAATTTTAATTTTCAATTTGAAAGTTGAAATATAAATCCATGCATAGCAGGGGTTAGAATGCTAGTGTCTATAAATGATAAATATGAAGATAAAACTTCATGATTTTCCCTTGCTTCATTTGAGAGATTAACAAAAATGGATGATTTTTTTCATAATCAAGCACCGCTATGTTAATTCTTTAACATCTCGTGGGCAGAATTAGAACTTTGAAAATAAATAAGGAAAAATTGTTCAAAACATTGCTCACATCTCACTAAATGAATTATTTTGTCCTTCATTTTTAAAATATTAATTTTACGTTTCTTATAAATTCTTAGTCCTAACCTAGGTTTCCAATCACTTTTTTAACTTATGTGATCATATGTAATCATTTTTTACGTACAAAAAGGTCAAATCTCACTTTTTTTAGTGATACAAAATGAATATAAATTGGGTCAAATCTCTTTTTTTTGGAAAATTTTGAATATGGTTTGAGTTAGATCATCCTTTTTTAGAGGTAAAAATAAATATGGATAGGATAATTTGTTCAACTACAAATAGGATCTAACATTTTTGTCCTTAAAGCAATAATCATATGTGGATTCAGGGTAAAAAATGGTCAAAAACTTAGGTTGAGATCAAATTTTGCCAATTTAATTTTATAAATGATATAAAATTATCATTCATTTAACGAAATATGGGGACGTTTTGAACTATTTGTCCAATAAAAAATGTAGGCTTCAATAAATTTTCCTCATTGTTTTGCCACTTTTGGAATGCGAACCATATTAACTATTCAATCATTTCCGTTCTCTTGTATTCTCTTAATTTTTTTTTTATTTGGTTCTTCTCCCAGTGACGGTCCAAAATTCATCCAAACCAGCCTAAGGAAATTTAATACTTTGACCAATAGAAACAGTCTTACAAAAGGTCTAGAGTTTTCCTTATCTTTTCTAAGTGTAACGCCACCGAAGCAACCATAGACATTTTGCCATTCCACAGTTGTTTTTGCAAAATCAAATTAATACATAACAATAGAAAGAAGCTATAATCATTTCAACACGAGTGTTTTAAACAATTACATAGATTCATATTGTTTGTAAGTTCTGAGATAAATTAAGAAGTTCACTGTTTTTAAGCCAAAGAGTGCAAAAACCGCAGATATAATTTTTTTTTTAAATATGGTTGGAAGCAGGCTATCCTTTAATTACAAAGAAACTAATCTAAGGTGAGAACAAAGAAGCACTACAAGATCTAAAGCTAAACACAGCCTAACCATATCCAATGAATATGGTAATGAAATAACTCCTAATTCCAAACTCAAGCCATAGTTGGCAATTCGACCATGCAGTAGGGAGAGCTAGGAGGTGTAACATAGGTAAAACAACAGTACGTCAGCAACACAGTGGCCAAGATGCAGTGCAGAATGCTGAGACTACATCAATAGGAATGCATCTGAGGATAACTGTGCAATGGAACAAGAAAGAAAGAGCTGTTGGCTATGGTATTGTGGCAAATGAAGGAAGAGAGTAGGACCTAATGGGATGGGCAATGAGAGAAAGAGCAAGTGAGAATCAAACTTGCTGAAGGGTGTCAAGCTTGCTCTAATCAAGGCAGCAGAACAGGAATGGAGACTTGTCAACATTGGAGTTCCTGACAAAAATCTTCTACAGAAAATCCAACGAAAAAAATTAATGGATGCATGGGTGGGTAACAACATTATTGATACAGGACGTCCAAGGGCTGAGTACCTTGTTTTACAATGCTACTTTTGCTTAGAAATGGTGAATAGAAATTATCCAAGTGTTCAGTTTAGTGTTCAAGCTTTGAGCAATTATCAAGACGTAGGGTTAATTCTAATTTGCTGTGCTAATGGCACGTTGTAAGTATCGAGCATTTGCTCGTTTTGTAAATACTTTTGTGTCAAGTAATACAATTCTACCGTCTCGATTAAAAAAAAAACCCAACTCTAAATTCAAACTATAATTGGTAATGTGAGTGCAAATTATATCACAAACCATTCTAATTGTCTAGGTCCGTGCTTGGAATGGAACAGAAATCTATTAACAAAGTAACATTTAACTCCAAATTCAACCTTTGTTTGGCTATCTAAGTGTGAATTATATCGTAGAGTGTGCTCATTGTCTAAGGTCGTGCCTGGGTTGGAGTAGAAATCTTTTATCTACCTACCTAAATTTCCTCGATGTGTCAGACTAATTACTAAAGATAAGAAAAAGGGTGCAGGGCGTTCTATTTCATAAACTCCTCTTCTCCCTCCATATGTTTGGATATTTTCATTAATTGGTCCTATTTTCCGTCTTATTCTTTTCTGTAACTTATATTGCTTTTTGTCTTTACCATTCTTTGAACTGTAACAAGAATATCAAATGCCCCCTTCTCATTTTTGATTACATAATGACACTTTCATTTGGTTGGAAAGATTTGGAGATGCAAGAAGAGATAAGCAGACGAAGTTTGAATAAAAGCCATCTCTTGATTGTGAGTATTAAATAAAGAGAAAAGAAGAGATATGATGACACCAAAGAGTAAGTTGAAATATTTAGCTTCAAAAAAAGGGGTAAGTTGAAATATTTCTTCTTCTTCTTCTTTTGTTTTTAGTACTTCAACAATGACAATTGTCCTAGATGTAAATTAGTTTTTAAGGAGATCAACGAAAAAATAAAAGAACCATAGAAGGTATAGTTTTAACTATTAGTTGGAAATTGAAACTTTTAAAAGACATCTCAAACCAAATTACCAATTTTACTCTCTCTAAAATTGAAAATTGAAGTTGGCTCTATTAGTTTGGTAAGGACGTCTGTCCCCCCCAAAAAAAAAATGCCTAGTAAGGATGAACCACTTGAAAAAAGTCCAGTAAGGAGAACCACTAGCAGAAAAGAGCCGGTTACTTCACGGTAGTTGAAAACCATTTAGACTTGCAGAACTCTGGATCCCTTTTTGCATGCATTGCAATGAAATGAAAATTGCAAGAAAATTTCTCCCCGTATGACCTAGATGTATTCTTGAGAGTCCAGCAATCTCGCATGCTCAACATCACTCATCTGATAATTGATCGACTCCTTAGAAGTGGCCCATTCAAGCTACTATAGGTCGAGTCTCAAACAAAGACTCACGTTAGGAGAGAAAACAAGAAGGGAAGTCCTGAAATTCTAAATTATGACAAATGTTCCTTCAGACCTCCATTGTTGACATTAACTGCCAACTTAAACAGAATGGTCCTTGAGCTGTACAAACTATAACAACTATGCGGAAATAACAATTTAGTTGCCAATCTCTCACAACATTTTACTTCATGTTCTCCCTGTAAAACTTCCACCAAGCTTCAACCTCTTTGCACCAGGCGCCTCTAACACAACATCAGACCTCCACTGTCCAGGTACATCATGCTCGTAACGGCAGCTGGAACCATTTCGGCATCCCATTGAACTATTATACAACTTACAAGTTCTCTTATACTTTCGATCTGATTCCTTGGACTGCAGGTGATTGTGAGATATTCCATATAGAGACAGCTCATCATCCTGACTTCCTTTTTCTTCTCCATGTTGCCTGATTAAGGACTGGAAGTAACTGATATCTTTCTGTAAACAAAGAGATGTGGTTGTCAGAGAACAAGAAAATGCACAACAACTAATTGTCAAAAAGATCTGTGGACGGGAATTTTACCCTCAAGGGCTCCAAAGGAAAAGATGGATGCTCTGCGCCAGGCACAGAAGATGGAGCAGGAATTTCACCAACATAATCATTTCCTGCACGATCATGCGACCCATGTTCTTCAATCAACTTCTTAAGGCGATATACCTCAGCTAGTGATCCAGGGACAGGTGAAGTTCCAAGACGTGGTGCTATATATGCAGTATCCAACCGATCAACCAAGGATTCAGGTTGCATTCGGGGAAAGGTATGGGAATGCCTCTCTACAGCAGGCTCAGGGAAGCTAGTGTATAAAAGTGGACCATGTTCTCCAGAAGACTTCTTGCTGAAATCAGGCAATACGCTTGACAAAGGAACGGATGGCGTCACTTTCTTTGGCTCAAAAGCTGTTCCTGATATAGAAGAGCCAGCTAGGTTTGGTTTCACAAACCTGGGTACTGAGAGATCTCTGAAATTACCCAGTTGACTATGTCCTTTCATGAAATTCTTACCTGGAAAATCAGGGTTTGAGCTCAGTAAGGGAACTAATGGTGCCACTGTCTTTGATCTAGAGCCTGCTCCAACTTCAATATTGTTGGCTTGTGGTCGTTTCACTAGCCTTGGTACAGCCATATGTCCATCATCGGCCAGTTGAATATATCTACCAGTGGATTTCTTACTTAAAACATCAGGAGTTGAGCTTGATAAGGCACGTGATGCTTTCAGCAGAGACATATTTCCAACATCAGCTCTTTGAAAGACTTCATAATTGGAGTTCTGACTTGGCAAATCAGACTTTGAGCTCAGTAATGAAATTGATGTGGTCACTTGCTTTGGCCCAAGACCTGTTCCAGTTTCTGCCTTAACAGCTAATGGTTGATTCCCTGGCCTTAGTAGAGCCTCAATTCCTGCATTGCCTGGATGCGTATTTTCGGTAGTGGACTTTTGGACCAATGAAACAATAGTTGAGCTCTGAAAATGAAGTAACTGTTCTACTTCATCCCATGCAAATGTTGGTCCAGTTTCAGTACTGACCAACTGAGCCCTAATTCTACTTGGGGCAGCTGGCGAGCATTTCACTTTTGATGGCCGGTGGATGAACTCTGTTCTGGGATTGTCAGGTTTGTAGCTTTCGATGGTAGATTCCTCAAACAGAAAGCTGCCTTTAGCGCTGGGACGGTGAACTGAAGACTCAACCATCTTTGATCCAGATGTTCCAGTTGTAGTATCTGAAGCTAGTCTGCGTTCATCAATCAGCTTCTGTACCAATTCTGGGTTGCTAAGAAGCTTTATCAACAACTCTGGATCTATTAAACTTTGAGGCTCTTTACTTTTCATGATTGCAGTTGTGGCAGCTGCTGCTGCAACCATTGGGCCATCTACATCTTGCAGTGGTGCATGATCAGATTTTTTACCTTTAGATAGGTCTCGAGAAAGAAGAGACTTGCTCTGAGGGATGTTAAAAATTTCAGAAGTTGATGGGCTTTGGGGTAATTTTGCGGGTTCTGGCTTGGCGAGGCAGTCCGTTTCTGCTGCTTCTTCAATTGCGGTGACAGGAATAACCGGAGTATGCCAATCATCAAAATGTTCGGCTTCCATATCCGATGAGATCGAGGGGCTATTTGGAAAATGCCAATGATGTGGTCAAGAGAAGAAAGCAATTAATTGAATTAAACTAAAAGAGTTTACTTTACCAGTGAGGAACTGCAGAAAAGTGAGGATAAACTGCCTCATGCACTCTCATTTCCCTGTGCTTTTGAACCTCTACCTCTTCACTTTCTTCCCCAGCAGCCACGTGACATTCAAACTTCAAATCAAACTGCTTGATAAATACATAATAGGTTACCCCAAATTGAGAAGCAAAATGTGAAAATTATGCAGTCTTATCACTTCTAATAAGCTTACTCGAGGAGGAGTTCTCCAGGGAATCTGAGGAATGTGTGAGACACCTTTATGGCTCAGTTGGTTGGGATAGCTTCCGACTGACGAACCAGGAAAACCATCAGCAATCGCAATATTTTCGTTTGATACCTTTTCGTGAGGATTGCCAGGAGGTTCCCTACCTACTTCAGATAGGCAATCTTCTGATTGGACAAATTTTGCCTGCACTAATAACAAACGAGGACTTGAATGTATTGAATCGGATAAATATGTAAATAACACGGTAATATACATAATGCATGTAGAGAGATGACAAGGCTGAGAAAGAACCAGCAGGGCTACATTGTTTGACGCACCACATGGCAGCCTATTCAATCAATTCCCCATTCCTCCCCACCACCCCAATCCCAAAACAAGCCCAGAAGCCCGAATTGGAAGTGAAAGGAACAGCATAGAGGAGGCAGCAGTAACTCCGCTGCAGAAGTTTCATTGCCTTCACATTCAAGAACCTGCCTTCTCATCCCAACCAAATGCAATGTATACTTCACATAGACAAGGCATACATTTCAAGATGGTAAAACATGATGAAATTAGTTGATTTCTTGCACGACCATATTTCAAAAACCAAAATGTACCAACTTTATGTTTATCAGTGAAAGCAGCAAAAGTTCTACACATTTAACCAAGCATCCACTATCTTGAGAATCAATTTTCCTTAATAAATAAAAGTATAGAACTACCTATGATTATGAAATCCTATATGAAAACCCTATGATAACTTCAATGTTTCTGCAACAAGCACATAGGAGAAGCATGGCAAGTCACCTCATCTTCAGAGTAAACCGCATTAACACAAATTTGTAGTTTACCATATTAAAAGCCTGAGGATAAGAAGAAGAACCACGTACCTATTGGTCGTTCACAACTAAAGCAGGCGATCTCGTTTATATTGGAGCATTCTTCTACTGTTGCATCACGCATGCAAGTGATGATGCCCTCTTGGGAACACATCACACTGCATGGTACATGTTTCATTTAAAGACAAGAATCAACAATCTCCCCAAAGACCGTTCATTGCGTGCGCATACAAGAACTTCCAACGTGCCATTACTTCTACCCCTTTATCTAAGCAAAAGGCAGAAACTGCGGACTGCTCTAGGGACTTTGAATACCCTGCTAGACTCTAGGTTTGTGTTGCTCAGAAGCTGAGAATTATGCTCAAGATGATTTACTAACATAATTGCAACTACAACCTAATAGGTAGAGGCTATCCTTGTCGGTTATTTTTCATCCACTTGAACTCATTATTTCGCACTTTACAATAACCGTGTTTCCTAAGCTATTCCAGTGGACAAATTCTAACAAATCAGACTTAACATTGGCAAAGGAGAGCAGCTTTTCCTTTCCTTACAAAGTATATATTCCATTGATCTATCAGCTGACTCTGTCCTTTCCTTGAACTCATAACATGACTGATGTATATATATTGTAACAGCTCTTTCTGTACTTCGATAGACATCATGGCTGCTTCAGATTGTGTAACAGCTCCCACGCGACCCATTGCAAGCCAATCACAATATGCTTACCCTAAAGTTAATGCTCTAAGTAGACCTAAAAATGCAAAGCGTAATTTAAAGTTTAGATGATTATGTTTCTTTTGACTCCCAACATGTTCAAGTTATCTTTTGGAGTTGTTTACCATTTTTCGACAACATTAGCTGATAATAGTTTCACATACAGTGAACAATAGGTCTGATATTATAGCACGGTTATTCCCATAAATGGTGCCCATAATGACTAACATGCTCTAACTAAGCATTGGCACACTCATTGAATGCCAGCTTGATAAGTGCACATGTTAGCATATCATTTAGCATCAGGATTATCGTCAATTCAATGGAATCTAAGAAGTGTCTTAAGAGTAGCTCATTCGATGTTGGGAACCTTTAAGTCAAAAGACTTAAACAGGACATTTTATCCACCTTGAAAACTTTTGAAATTAAAGTATTTTCCAGACAGTTTCTTGATACCATTCTTCACATCTTCCAAAATGTGTTGTCTTATCAATGACTTCTGAAAAGCAAAACATCACCAAGATCATATCAAAAGAATACATCTAAGTGACAGATAATAATTCTGTTAGTCAAGTTTCGAAAGCTTGAAATCTGTAGATCATTTAGTTAAAATTAAAATGATCTTCAATAGCTTATGTTCAGATCACGTGCTTAATCAGAACAGCTGATACAAAGTATAAGCGGAACTTCATCTCCTTCCTGCTTGGAGAACTCTCAGAATCCCTTATGTTTTAGACATTCTCTTTGCCTCAAAAATGAAGCAAACTGTTCATGCCTACAAAGAACAAATTTATTATTCAAGGCTTCATTTACCTGAACTTCTTTTTCTACTCTCCTTTTACTTCTTTTGACTGCATGCACCTGCTTGGTCGAAAGCATCTTAGTTTGCATTTCTTTTAGTAAGATATAACTTAAAAGCTATGCACCCAGAATCCTTGTAAACACAAAACACATCCAGCTTATCAGTGTATTAGCAACGTATTGGAGCTCAATGAGTACTTCTTCCGTGAAATGAGAATGAAGGATTCTCAGAAGCTTGTTTATTGGGTTGAGTTCTTTCTCTCCACCGAACTAGATGCATCCATGCATCCAGGAAGGAGAAATTTGCTTCCCTAAAGTATGAGTTGCGTTCATTAATGTAGAACAGAATTTGATTTCCCCATGTAACAGATTAACACCTCAAATAGTTCAAAGCTTCCTTTAAAGTTTAAACTTAAATTGAATGATTATTGACCTTTTTATCTCGTTTTATCTCTTATAATGTGTACTTCCATATGTCTAAAAATTTACTGACTGTATATCTAAATTATGTCCATGATGCTCTTTTTAAAAAATTTCAATTTTGTTTGTATTTTTAAGAACTGCATTTTAGAAAACAACAGAGTTTTTAATACCTGGTCTCTCCAAAAACAATATAGTTGTGGCTTCTTAAAGCAAATCCTACTACAATCGACGGGATCAATTAGGTTACCAACAAAAATCAATAAAGTACTGTTCCCAAATACAATAGATAAATGAATGCACGCAAATTATTTGTTTGCAAATTTGTAAACTAATGTGCACTCACAAATTAGCAGGAAATCTCATTTTTTGAAGTCTTAAAAAGCCAAGTAATTTTTTCCAAAAAAAAAATTAACACATGAAAAGTTTTCAAAAAAAAAAACACTGAAAAGCTGATTCAATACACGAATTTAGTACGGATACAATGATGGTCATCAACAGCATTAGTGTGAGTATACCTGACAAAGATTAGCTTCAGTTGCCCAACAAACTCTGCTGGATTTCTTCACTCGCTTCATTTTTTTATCTTGTTTTAAATAAAGAAAATCAACACGATTTACTCCGCATTTAGGAACCGGAACCACTAATTAATGTAGTAATGGTTGAATCAAGTTCAAGTTCGTTAAGCAGCAGCAGAAGAGAAAACTTTTTTTTTGGGCAGTGTTCCAAGACTAGGAATGTTCTAGATATTAGAATGCAAAAGCCCTAGAGGAAAATTTTGAGGTTATAACAAGCGATTATTTTCTGCTTCGTCTTGTTTGAGTTTCGGCCATTTTGCTCGAGCTCAAGCGTTTTAACAGACGCGTCTCTTGGGTTGAAGAGGCGCTGACGAGACCAGGGTTGCTGCATACGCATTGATCCGCGTCGTCCGATTTGGAGAGTAAATGATTAGTGTACTTTTACCCGAAAAAGTGCGGGGATATTCATCTGCATCTGCTTCTGCCACCGCTACTGACATGGGCTTCTTTTCTTTTTTTGAGCCATCAGCTTCGGGGGCACTTATTTGAGTCCGACTCACTTTCCCGCTGTCTATTCTTAATTCCAATCACTTTTTTCCTTTTGTCACTAATCTCATAAGGTAAGTTAATCTTATGTAATCCGTGATTTGGTTGCAAATTTATTGTGGAGATGTTTGGATGGAAGGCAAGATATATGACGAGATTATTTGTCTATCCACCGAATGAAATATTAGTGACTTCAAATTAGGAACTAGCAACATTTTTTGGGGTAGCATAATTATTGAGGATTAATTTTAATAAACAATAGAGATTTTTTTACTTAAGTAGGTTCTTATACATGTAACATAATATGTGATCATATTGGAAATATTTAATGAGTGTCTACTGCACGCACTACTCGAGAAGAAGAAATAGTTGAGATGTTAATTTTTTTTAAAACATAAAAATAATTACGTAAAGTGTATAAATGCAATGAAAGATAATAATTGTTAGTATATGTATTTACATAATAAATTTAGTGTGATTTATATGTGTTAACTTCCGTACGTGCATAAATATCTCATTGACAATTAGCTATATATAGCACATTGTTTAGTGCTAAACATAGATATCATTGACGAAAAAAGTTTATGAAAGTTGTTGAAATCTTGAAATCATACAACGTTGGATTGAATGACTATTATGTAGAGCTAATCATTTAGAGAACATATTGTAAGCGAGACAATGTTTACATTAAATGATAATTATGAAGATAAAACTTCATGATTTTATGTCGCTTCATTTGAGAGATCAACACAATGGGATGATTTTCAAAATCAAGCATCATGTGGGTCAGGGAAGAGGAAACGATGGATTGGGTGATATAGGGAAGGAGAGTATAAATTAGAGATACAGAGTTCAAGATCTCCCGTTTAAATAATAAAAAATCGTTCAAAATATCTCTCACATCTTACCAAATGATTTTTTTTCCTTCCCTTTTAAAATAGTAATTTTACTCCCTTTATAAAATCAAGTTAACAAAATTTAGTCGAAACCTAAGTTTTTTACCATGTTTTAACTTGAAATCACTAACATGATTCATATACAGTCATTTTTTATGTATAAAAAGATTAAATCCCATTTTTTAGTGACAAAAATGAATATAATTAGATGAGATCCCTTTTTATTGAGAAAATTGATTATGGCTTGAATTTGATCCTACTTTTTTAGGAATAAAAATAAATATGGATCAGGTTAAACTATAAATAGGATCTAACCTTTTAGTCCTAAAATAATAATTATGTGTGGACTGTATAATGGAGTCAGGGTAAAAAAAGATCGAAAACTTAAGTTGGGATCAAATTTTACCGATTTTTTAAAATTAAATTTTATCGATTTAATTTTGCAAGAGACATAAAATTACCATTATAATAATGAATGATATAAAATCTCATTTAAAAAAATATGAGGAACGTTTTAAATGATTTTTTCAATAAATAATGTAGGCTTCAATAAATATAATTATTATAACTAATAATATTAAATATGTTATATATAATTATAATATATATATATATTTTTTTAGGTATACCTCCGCCCCTATCCCTTTTTTAATGGGAAAGAAAATGACCCCTAATGCGACTGCCAAAAACAAGATCCGAGCTGAGCTGTGACGGGCTGAGCGAGCTGAGAGGGAGCGAGCTGGCGAGCTGAGCGAACCGACCTGTAAATGGACAAACGGCGGGACTAGTTCCCCGGAGCAACTCCGACGGTCAAGTCAGTAGAGATTTTAGGTCGAAGTGACAGTATAATGAACTATGAGTGGTGTACCTTGTGTCCTCCCAATGCGTTGTATTTATAGAGTCCTTGGTGATAGTTTCCTTATAGGACAATGAGTCCTCAGCGGAGGAGAACTCCTCCTAGAGCTCCGCTTGTTAGCCCCGACAAGTTTGGGCGCCGCGGCCCATCAGGCCCATCCAATCGAGAGGCGACCACCGCACGAACTGTCCCCTGACTGTCCGAGCTGCCTTGCCAGGTCAGCCAGTTCTTCCTGCCCGAGCTGACGTGCATATGGGCCCCACTACACTAGCCCCCCTTTTAGTCTAGAGTCATCGAGTAGTCGCGTGAATCTGGACCGAATTTCGAGGCGTTATGTCAGTTCGGCGTGGGGCCCCCTCGTCTGGCATTCGCTCGAGTAACCGTCGCGTCGGTTCACATATCCGTCACCTCAACTGTCACCTCGCCTCATAATGACGGTTCCCAACATAAATTCGAAAATAAATGCGCGCCCCTTCGTTTTCCCGCCCTGATGGTTGCCTATAAATAAGCCCTCCAGGCGTCACTTTCACTCCCCTTCTTTCGCTTCATCAGTTCGCTCCTTCATTTTTCTTTCCTCCTTTCGAGAGTCCGCCCGCTTGTCTTACTTTAAGAGCCCAGGGTGTGACAGCCCCACCTCACCCTAAGGCGAACCAAAGGGTTCGGCGGACCGCCTGCCTAACTCTCGTCGGAACTCAGTCAAACCTCAATCAAATCTGAAATAAAACCACAAGATCAAACGAAATAACAATCCAAAACTCACTCTTAATCACCACATTTATCGCACTAGCGGGTCCCACATCGACAATGCATTCCAAATTTAACGTACACTAAATCATACTAGAAAAATGAATTTAAAACTGTACTTGCTTGTAAAAATGTATAGAAATTTTAATATGTCCAAGGAAAGTATAAAATGTAGGCAAAGAAATAAAATAATACTGAGAAAGTGTGATTGATTGTTTTTTTTTTTGGGTTCTCACACAGGGTCAGTTCGCGCATCCTTTAGATCAGTCTTTCATCCGACCTCCTCCTTTCACCAGTAAGTTTCCTTTCCCTTTTTATGTCTTCTTCTTCCTCTGAACGCTCTGACGTTACCAGTTCAGCCCTTAGGCGTAGGATAGCTCGTCCCATACTTGTAGATATCAGTTCTTCTACCTCTTCTAGTTCCCCTTCTTCTTCTAGTTCGTCTGGGTCAAAGTTTGTACCCTCCCCCGTTCTGTCTCCTGCTAGAACAATGAATTGGTCCGAACAACCCATCAAGCCTCCTGTCAGAGCTGCTGCACAAGCAGCTCCAGACCAAGCAGTAGTGGGACCTCGGGGGGATTTAGCGGCGACTTCGGCGAGGTCGATACTATTCCCCCTGCCCTGGAGCAAAAAGATGTCGACGAACTGACAGAGAAGTATGAAATCCCTGCCCAGTTCGAACCCAGGGCCGCCCGGCCTGGGGAAGTTGCTAGACAACCTCCTCCCGGGTTCGTGGCAATCTACAGGGACCAGCTGATAGCTGGCCTTCGCCTCCCTATCCCCAATTTTCTTTTTGAGATCCTCACTTTCTGGGGCATCTGCATAACCCAGCTCATCCCAAATGCTGTTCGCTCCATTATAGGTTTTTTCATTCTCTGTCGCGTGCTCGAAATCCCCTTTTCACTTGATTTGTTCCGGGCTATCTTCCAAATGAAGATCAGCGGCAAAGTGCCCTGGTGGTTCTACTTTGCTCGTAGGAGCGGAGCGAAAACCCCCACCTGTGAGCTGTTCGCGGGCGCGCCCTTCTCTATCAAGAACTGGAAGCCCCATTTCTTCTATGTGAAAAACTTGGGTCTTCCTCCCCTGACTTGGAGAGCGGAGACTCAAGTTTCTGATCCCATTCCTTCCCCGCTCCCAGTGTTCGAGCTCAATCATTTACTCAGCTCGGACATGAGGCTGAATGTGAAGGATTTCAGCAATGCCCAACTCTGGGCGGCTGGCCTGATCCGAACTAACTCCTCGGATCCGTCCCCAGAAAGTACAGCTCTCTCTCCGGATGAGCTGGCCACCTGTAATCTTCTTGTCCTTGTCTTTTGTTTGTTGGGGCTGAGTTTTTAGCTCGTGTGGTTACTAATTGCTTGAACTTCGTTTTTATGCAGTGAAGAGGTTTTCGCAGCTCCTGACTCTTGGGGGCACAGGCAGTTCGAACACCCCAACTTAAGCTCCCTCGACTATCCCAGCCAACTCGGCACCTACCCCGCCTGTTCAACCAATCCCTGTTCAGTCCTCCCAAGCAGCTGAGACAAGGAAGAAAAAGAAGAAGAAAATCACTGCCAAGAGAGCCAGGGTGGAGACGACCTCGTTCCGTGGTCGGGAAGAGGGGTCGATGCTTGACCCTGTTCAAACCGGGCACTATGGTGTCAACACCGCCAAGGAGCAGGCCCGAGCTGAGGCTCCTCCTGGCCTGTGGCAGCACCAAAGCACCTCGTTCTTCGACCCCAGATACTTCTGCCCCCAATGGAAGCTGTCTATTAACGATCGAGCTCAGTTCCCGGAGGTATCTCGGAAGCTCATGCATGGGGCCATCCTTCCGCGGGACTATAACCTGGTCAAAACCATGAATCCTTCCGACCTCCTCGACTACTATTACACGGGAGCAGCTCAGGTCGGTCTTCTCCTCACACCCTGCTCGCCCTTGTTGGTAAAAATTGTCTTTTCTTAAGACTGACCTGTCCTCCAAAATCGATTTACCAGATGAACGTGCTCTCGCTAAAGAGCGAGATGAGAGCAGCTAATGA